TTTTTTTTAACTTCACCTTAGATTAGGCCTCCTTTGACCTGAATGTTGTATTCATTCATTAGCAAATATGTGAAAATATATAGACTTTTGTTCTGTTTTATGTATATAGACTTTGAAGTCAGGAGAACTTGCAAGCTATATGACCCTGGCCATGGAAACAATCTTTGAGTCAGTTTCAGTTTCTACCTTCATAAAATGGCAACAATAAGACCTACATTACATTATGTTGAGACTGTGAAGATTAAATGAGTTGGGACAAGTAAACTTAAGATCTGGTAATCATATTATTGTCACAATAAACCAAAAGTGGGTTAACCACTAGGAAAGACAGGTAAAAACCAAAAAAATGCAGGATTTTAATGTTCAAGAGACTCACAGTTCATGGCCATCTGTCCATCTTATCTTTATTTACTTTAAACTATTTTTAAACTCTAAATGAAGCCTGCTCCTTCACACATATTATGTTTTACCCTCAGAGTAGCATGTCATTTACCATTTTTTAATCCATTAAATGAAAACTTACTCTACAAGAGAATTCTCTACCTTCTTCTGAAAGACTTCCCTATTTCACTAAGTCTTTATAAGTTACTCCTGGCTCAGCATGCTTTTGTGCCATTATCTAGGATTTATTTAATTCCATGTTAAGTTCTAATGAATATATTTCCAGCAGCAGCACCAAATACTTTATGGGTAGGAGCTAGATATTCCCTCAATTTTCTGTTCTTCTCACTCAGAAACTGAAGTGGGTTTGGGGGGAAGGTGCCTGATACTTGAATAGTACTTATTCAGCCAGGAACTCCTTTAAGCACTTTGTATTAGCTTATATAATCCTCTTGACTGTCCTTTCATTGTCCCCATTTTGTTGTAGTTGGTTGCTGACTTCTGAAGTCCCCACACACAATGGAGTGTAAGGTGGCCCCAGTTCTGTGCCATCTCCATGGTCAGCTGCAGATTAGATTGCTGTGATTCAAAGGACTTTCTTCAGATGATTTGCAAAAGTAGATCACCATCATAGACAGCATCATGTCCTCCACAGATAAGTGTATGTAGTATTAAAAGTAGAAGTTATGAAAAGTTTCCCTGTGATCTGATAAGCCAATTAATTGTAGCAGTAATAGGTGTGTGTGTGTGTGTGTGTGTGTGTGTGTGTGTGTGCTGTGTGCTGCGTTCTTAATCTCCTCACATTCCTGAGCAAGAGAAGTTAACTTAGGGTATGACTTATAACACCTTTTACCTTACAAGAGATAAAGGGAGAGAAAAAGTAGCAGAGAAGGGTATCCTTGGATCACCAAGGAAAAAGACTAAGAGTACAACACATCTTGTGGGCCATGTCCATGCTTTAGGAAGATCCTTGGCACAGGGGAAGGTCAAGATGTATGGAGATCTCCAAGGAATACCAGGCCTACAAGATAAAAGCTGAAGGAAACAAGGACTTTCCTCCAGGACACACAGAAAGCCTCCTATATCTGGCACCCCGGACCTGCCCTTCCAGCTTCCTAAACTATAAGAAAATAGTTTTGTTTGCTGAAACCATACACTTGTGGTATTTTGTTACAGCAGCTCTACATAAGTAAGACAATCATTAAGGCTATCTTCCTAATTGATCTTAGAAGCTCTGCTAAAACCTGTTCAGCTCCATATTGTTGTTAGGTACCATGGAATCAGTTGACTCCAACTCACAGCAATCCTTTGTAGAAAAGATTGAAACTTTGCTCAAATCTGTGCCATCTTGACAATTTCTGCCTTGCTTAAGCTTTTTCATTGAAGATATTCCCCTCTTCTGTTTACTCTCCACTTTCCCAAGCATCAGCACCATATCAACACACAAAATTTCTATGGCAGGTGGGTGGTATCTGTGCATGAGATGCATTGATTTGGAATAATTTCTTCCACCTGGAAGGTAAGAATTTTACCATTGAACCACTAATGTACAGCATATCTCCAGTTTACAAACAAGAAACTGACTCTCAGCAATCCAGATCACTTAGCTAATAAGTAGCTGAACAGAATTTGAGCCCAGGCAAGAGAAAATGATGAAGCAGTATGTATGCTCCCATAAATATTTATAGCCTTGGATATAACTATGGATAGTTCTACTCTCTGTCTTACAGAATCTTTACTAATCAGAATTGACTTGATGGCAGTAGTTAGGTAGACTCTGGCTTAAGAGTTTGTGCTCTTGATCAGCTATGAGTGGGGATTCTAGACTGTGTTAAAGCTGACCTACAGAACGGTTTCATTATTTAACAAAAACTGTGTTTATTGAGGGAGCTCTGGTGGCATAGTGGATAAGGTGCCAACCCAAAGGCAAATCCACCAGCTGCTACATCAGCTGCTCTTCCGGAAAAAATTGGACATCTCCATGCAATTTACAACCTTTGAAAACCCGCTAGAAGGTGATTTAGGAGTCAGTTCTGACTCGACTGCGATAAGTGTGTGGGTGATTGTTTCTTAAGCATCTATGATGTTCTCAAGAAATGAAGTGGTATAACAACTATGAGATATCATCTTACCCGAGTCAGAAGAGCAAAATTTAACAGAACAGCAAGCAACAAACAAGGTTGTGGAGAAATTGGAACCCTTATTCACTGTTGGTGGGAGTGTAAAATAGTGCAACCACTGTGGAAGGTGGGATGGCGCTTTCTCAAAAAGTTGCAAATAGAGATACCATTTGACCCAGCAGTTCCACTACTGGGAATATATTCCAAAGAGACCATAAATGACATCCAAGCAGATATATGCACACCCATGTTTATCGTGGCTTTGTTCACAATAGCAAGGAGTTAGAAACAACCCAGGTGCCCATTAACAAATGAATGGATAGAGAAGGTGTGGTATATTCAGACAATGGAATACTACACTGCATTGAAAAACAAGGAACTCATGCAATATTATTCAAAATGGGTGACCCTGAAGGACATTATGCTGAGTGAAATATCTCAGTCACAAAAGGACAAATACTGCATGGTGCCACTGCTGTAAAATGGAACAGATATCAGGGTTGGGGTAAGACTGAGAAAAATTGGATAAATTGGGGAGCTCTGGTGGCCTAGTGGCAAGGAGCTGCAACTACAATCCCAGAGGCACACGGTTCGAATCCACCAGATGCTCTGCTGGGAAAAGGAGGGACAATCTCCTCCTGTACAAGTCAGATCTGATTTGATGGTACACTCACACAAAAATAAAAAAAAATTGGATAAATTGTGTATACTGCATTGAAACAGATGAGGGAAAGAATAATTTTAAAGCAATGTATGATAGGATATTATGGTTATTACAAGAGTCCACAATTGCATAGTGGAGTGTACTTGGGGCAGTGGGAGGGGTGCGGGGGGGATTGTATATCAAAGAAAGAATTTTTCTTTTACTTTTCAAAGAGAGCAGCGAACTGGGGTGGAGGGGAGCAGGGGGAAGGGCTGGGCAGGGAGAAAGTGCAACAATGAATGAATGGAAATGCAAAAAAAAAGAAAAAACGAAATAAAGTGGTATAGTGGTCAAAGTCAAGAATTTCTGAGGTGGTCTGCCTGAAGAGACCACTTACCACCCATGTGACCTTAGAAAAGTTATTTAACCTTTCTGTGCTACAGTTTTATTACTTCCTAAATGGCGATAACAGTAATATTTGCATTATTAGGTTGTTGTGAGAACCTAAGACAGTATATATAAAGGCTTAAAATACAATAAGCCATTTATTGTCATGTGTAATCTAACTCTTAGTAACCCCTATAGGACAGAGTAGAACTGTCCTATAGGATTTCCTAGGTTATAATCTTTAAGAAAACTCTGATGGTGTAGTCTGTAGCAAATTGCACTATAAACCCAAAAGCTTTGTGTCTCTGGTGGTTCAAATCCACCAGGGGCACCAAGGGAGAAAGATGTACAGTCTCCTCCCATTGTAATTTACAGCCTCAGAAACCAATGGAGGGTTAGCAGTGAGTCAGTAAGTCTGAATTTGAGTGTTTATAAGGAACGGCTATTTTCTTTCTTCATTTGGCAGTTATTGTTTAACCATTGTGCCATCTGGGTTCCTAAACATTGTAGAAGTGTTGGTTATTTTAACACATTAGCCTCACGTGGTAATGTGTGGAATAATAAAAGACCATTCCTGACCTCAAAGAGTTGATATTCTGTGTTAATTCTGATTTGACAAAACCTGGAAACAGACAATTCCATATTTTCTCAGGTTAAGGAGGACTAAGTGGAAAGGGAGTAGTTCCAGGGTGCTATCTTGGAATTTCTGCAGCTGTTTTTAAAATTTCTCTCCCTTTCAGGGAAGTAACTTTCTCTTTTTCAACCATCCTCTATCTACCTTTCTGAGCTCCATTTTGATACTGCTTTGATGTTTGTGACTTGAGATAACAAGATGGGAGAGGGTGGGGCAGAGAGGTGTAATTTCAATGTTTTATGTTCCCTATTTTGCCCAAATGAGACATCTTTAGAGTAGAGTTGGCTGAGGTGAAAAGAAGTTGGAACTGGATTCTAGGGCTGGACAAAGACCCATCAGCTCTCATTCCCTGGTCCAAGGTTCAGCCACAGTCTGTAAATTTATGGCGCCTGCAGAGAGAGGAGGGAGCTCCATAAGGAGGTGTTAACTCAAAGGCAGAGCTTATCTTTCAAATCTACCAGCTTTTGGAGGAGGGAAGATAGGCAACCTCCTCCTGTGCACTTTTCAGTCTAGGAAACTCCTGGAGGTCCCTCTAAGTCTGAATAGAATTGATTCAATCATAGTGAGTGAGTTAGTAAATGAGTGGGTGAGTGGGGGGCACAGAGAGGAACTAGAAGAGATGAAGGAGAGTCTCACAGAATTGAAACGGACCCATTTCTTAGTTGCCTATTGGTCTGAGGTACTAGAGAAAGCCTGTAAGGGAGTCTAGGCTTTGGAGATGACAGGTGGTAGGAAGTAGGGTTTGGGGAAGTTAGTTGGCAGTATGTTGACAAAGAAATGTTTTCTTTCCTTGCGAGATTAGGTTTTGGGGAATATCTATACACCAGCAACCCACCTGTCTTAGCAAAGCTGATGATCTCATATTCCTGTGCTTTGTTAGCTTCTGGGAGCACCCCCCGTGGGGGACCATGGAGGTGCTGCAGTGCTGTCCTCAGAGCAGCTCTGGGCACTGGTCGGCTCAGTGTTGGGGTCTGACTGAAGTGCAGCTTGTCTAAGATACTTCTCTTAGCTAGGTCAAGAAGTAGCTTCCGTTGGCTCTTCAGGTCGAATGTGGGCCCCCCACATGCCGGACACTGACCACCAGTTCTGGGAGTAGCCACTATGACCAAAGTCAGGAACACGAAGACCAGGAGCAGTGAGGAAGTCATTGCTGGGGAAATTCCTCTTTTAGCAACACAGTTCCAGGAAAGAGCTGATAAGGTGGGGCTCATGGGCTCAGCAGCTGTGGGGCTCCTGTCCTAAATGACAGGGTCTCCGGAAGAGGTATGTGTCCAGCTGGCATGCTTCCGTACTGCAGAGGATAGGGCAGCCAAACATCTGACTTGAGAAATGAAGCCAGTCCCAGGTAGAACCTGGCAGCAGCTTGCCAATGCATAGTTAGGCAAGGACAGAGTGGGGGATGTGATGAGAGGTTGGTTTGTTTGGGGAAAGAAATGTCCCTTGGCCAATTGAGATAGCTGTTATCCATGTGAGCTGCTGGGCCTGGGGACAAAGGTTAGAGCTAAAATTTTCCTTCAGATTGTCTGTAGCATTGTGAAACCTAGGGGGAGAGGGAAGCTTTTAAGAGACAGCATTAAAAGGTGACTCTCAATAACCTAACAAAAAGATGATGTCCCATCATATAACTTTTGTGATTTTCTTATATTATTATTTTTTAATTGATATTTTAATGAAAGTTTACAGAAAAGTTGGATTTACCCTCATTCATTGTTGTACATTTTCCTCCCTAAGCAACCCCAGTTCTCTTTTTAAATTTTTTTATTATTATTAATTGTAATGAAAGTTTACAGAGATTGAAAATTTCCATTCATTCATTCATTGTTGCACTTTCCTCCCTGCCTACCCCTCACTCCCCCCAATTAGCTCTTCTCTTTGAAAAGTAAAAGAAAAATTCTTTCATTGGTATGCAATCCCTTCCTCCAAGTCCACTCCACTATGCAGCCTTCATTCTGGACTCCTGTCACGACAATAATGCCTAACCACATATCCCTTTTAAACAGTTTTCTCCCTCATATGTCTCAATGCAGTATATATTGTTTATCCCATCTTTCTCAGTCTCCCCCCAATCCCGATGTCAGTCCCGTTTTACAACAGTGGTGCTACGCAGTATTTATCCCTTTGTGACTGAGATATTTCACTCAGCATAATGTCCTCCAGAGTCACCCATTTTGAATAATATTGCATGAAAGAACTGAGGGAAAACATTGAAAAGTTTAAAAATTTAAAAAATTTAAAGTCTCAAGTTGCAATATTGAAAGATTATATAATTTCCATATAATCTTTCAATATTGCAGCTTGAGACTTTACATTTTTTCCCTCAGTTCTTTCAGATTGAGACATTCTGAGAAACTGAAACATACGAAGAAGAATGTGGCATCAGAATTGGAGGAACTATCATTAACAACCTGAGATACACAGATGACACAACTTTGTTTGCTCAAAGTGGGAGGGACTTGAATCAGTTATTTAGTAGATCAAAGACTTCAGCCTTCTTTACGGATTATATATTACGATAAAATGAAAATCTTCACAATTGATTTAATGTTACTGTGTAGAGTTGAAACTGACCCATAGCAGACCCTCGGGGAAGTTTTCAGAGGTTGTTAATTTCCCAGGAGGAGATTGCCCATCTTTCTTCCACAGATCAGTAGCTGGTGGCCTCAAACCAGGTGTCTCTGGGATTGCAGTGCAGCTTCTTGCCACTAGGCCACCAGAGATCACTTACAATTAGCCAAATAAGTAACATAATAATAAAAGCACAAAAGATTGACATTAAGGATTAAGGATTTAATTTTACTTGGATTCACAAACAACACCCATGGAAGCAATAGTCTTGAAATCAAAGAACATTTGGCATTGGGTAAACCTCCTACAAAAGACTTCTTTAAAATGGTAAGAAACAAAACTGTCACTTGTGGACTAAGATACACTTGTTCTAAGTCATGTTATTTTCAATTACTTCATGTACTGTAGGGAGCTCTGGAGGCCTAATGGCAAGAAGCTGTGCTGCAATCCCAAAGGCAGACAGTTCGAGGCCTCCAGCTGCTCCTCAGGAGAAGGATGGGCAATCTCCTCTGATGTGATTAATTGCATCTAAAAATCCTCTGGGGGGTCAGCTATGGGTCAATTCTGACTGTACGGTACACAACACAACAAAACAGTGTTGAAAATCAGACAACGAATAAGGAAGACTAAAGAAGAATCTTGATGTTGTAAAAGAATATTAAAAATGGATTCTATCACCACACTATTTGGACCTGTGGTGTTCTCTGCTTCCCAGGCACCCACTGCCTGAAGGAGAGGCATACAACTCATGTCCAAGGCACACTAAGGCCTCTCTTGCTCTGCACAAGCAGTTGTTACAGATCTTTTAACTTCACTAGCAAATCTCCACTTGACATGTGACTCAGTTTTAGGAAGACCCCTGTACAGGTTTCTCTGAAGTGACTCATATTAAGCATACTCAGGCCCCTGTCCTACATAGCAAGTGTTAAAGTTCTTTTAGCCACATAGACCAACCTCCTGTCTGAAGATGCTCACTTCTTGCCCAGCAAACTCAATGGTCTTCAGTGTAGTTATTCTCCTGTGTCTAGGAAGTTCTCAGTCGGGTACTCTAGATCAAAATTATTCCAGTCTCTTCTTGAATCAGACACTTCTGCGGAATTGGCTCTTATAAAAGCAAACTTTTTGCCAATTTCAAGGAACAGCCCTCTCACCAGGAACATGAACTGACCAGTCCTCACAGTGGAACACCAGTCATATAATTTATGTACGAAACTGACCAATCCCTTATAAGATTGTGTCCTCCAATAATTCTCAGAGAATTAAAAGATCTTGGCTAGAAAGGTCATAGAAAAGCAATCTCCTCAACAACTGGATTGACAGTGTCTGTAACAGTAGGCTTGAGCATGGGGGAGATCATGAGGGTGATGTAGGAAAGAGCAAGATTCAGATATGTTGTTCAGAGGGTTTCGATGAGTTCTTATTGACTGGACAGCACTTGTTGTTATGTGCTGTAGAGTCGCCTGCGACTCATAGTGACCCTATGTACAACAGCCCCAAACCTTGCTCTATTTTGTGCCAATCTCATTGTCTCTGATAAACCTACCCCCATTACACCAGTCACTGAATCAATCCATCTCATTGAGGGTCTTCCTCTCCTGCACTGTCCCTCCACCCTCCCAATCATGATGTCCCTCTCAAAGGAGTGGTCCCACCTTGCAACATGTCCAAAGTATGTCAGACGAAGCTTCAGAATCCTTGCCTCCAAGTAGCAGCCTGGCTTCACCCTCTCCAGGACAAAACTGTTTGTTTTCCTAGCAGTCCATGGTATATTCAATACTCTCTTCAAGCACCACAGCTCAAAGGCATTAATTCTCCTTCTGTCCTCCCTAGTCATTGTCCAGCTCTCTGTTGCATAGCAAGTGATAACAAAGACTATGGCCTGTATCAGGTGCACCTTAGTCTCCAGACTGACATCACCTAACAACAAGGTATTTCCAATTTTACACAGAAAAGGCCAACTTAAGTAATTTTAAACTCCTACATCAGAGAGTTGGACTAGGGAGTACAGAAGGAGAATGGATACCTTTGAGCTGTGGTGCTGGAGAAGAGTATTGCGTATACCATGGATTGCTAAGAAAACAAACGGGTTCATTCTGGAACAACAGGTTCATTCAACAACAACAACAACTTAGAAAGTAAGCTCTGATGACCTAGTGGTAAAAAAACTGCACTGCAATCCTGAAGGGATGCATTTTGAATCCACCATCTGCTGTGTGGAAGAAGGTTGGACAGTCTCCTGCTGTGTGATTAACTGCCTCTGAAAATTTGCTGGAGGGTCAGTTATGGGTCAGTTCCAACTCAATGGCACTCAACAACAATAACAGTAACAACAACAACAGTTAGAAAGTAGCAGAGGTATGGTAGAATTGTCCATAAATGTTGCACTACAGTCTAAAAAGTTAGTGTCTCCAAGTGTTTGGAATCCACCAATAGCATCAAGGGAGTAAAATGGGAAGTCTCATCCTGTGAAAATGTACAAGCTTGGAAACTTGATGAAGGGCAACTATGATGTTAGAATGTACTTCATACCAGTGACAGATTAAAAAGTAAGAAAAGTTGGCTTCAAAATGGTCCTGTCATTTAGCTATTAAAGGACAGCTGTTGAAATCCACTGTTCCATTCTATGGGAGAAAAGATCTAACAATATGCTCTTGTTAAAGTATTATCCTAGGAAACCCCATGAAAACAGCTCTGCTCTACTCATCCACTCATGACTAGTTGTTCTAAGTTTGAACTGACTTAACAAACAATAGCAAAGTAAAATTTTAATTTTGCATTAAAAAATGAAAGAAAAGTAATTCCCTGTATTGCATCAAGAAACGGAAGTCATAAGGAAATTATTTAAATAGAAGATTTTCAGTTTTAGGATTTAAATAATATTGCAAACTTGATCTAGATTTAGTTTCTAAGAAATATTTGCGATGTAGAAAAATGACTCACTTATAAAAATTACTGGATTTATTTTTCCTTCTTGATAGTAATTAGCAGAATCTGTTAATTTTGAATACCCAACACCTTTTTGCCCTTCAAAGCGGGAAAAAAAAATTTCTCCTGTTTGAAATGCTTCATAAAACCAAAATCAAAACACAGACCCCACTCGTGGTGACTTTCCATCCTGTTTCCAAGGCTATAAATCTTAAAGTGAGGAGACTACTTATCAGAGGGGCTGATGAGGTCACATTGCCAATCATTAGGTTAGTTGTGCAATTTACTATGAACTATGCCACTTCTGTAGTTTGCCACTTTGGAACTGATCTAGCAGGCTTTCAGAGGCGGTATACTGGGAGGAGAATGCTTATCCTTCTCCCAAAGAGTTGCTTGGTGGTTTCAAACTGGGTGCCTTTGGGTTTCCTGTGCAGCTTCTTACTACTAGACCAACAGACCTACCTTGTTGTTGTTATGAGCCATTGAGTTGTTTGCAAATCATAGCGACTCTACAAACAACAGTTCTGAACTCTGTGCTATCTTGAGTAGACTTCATTGTCTTTTACACATCTACCTCCATTATCCCAGTCACTGAGTCTATCCGTTTCATCCATGGTCTTCCTCTCTTATGCTGTCTCTCCATCTTTCCAAACAAGAT